ATATATATATATATATATATATATATATATATATATATATATATATATATATATATATATATATATATATATATATATATATATATATATATATATATATATATATATATATATATATATATATATATATATATATATATATATGTATATATATATATATATATATATATATATATATATATATATATATATATATATATATATATATATATATATATATATATATATATATATATATATATATATATATATACGTGATGCAGAGTGGTGTCCTCCCATGTAAAATCCTCGGTTAAAGTGGCATCCGGGACAAAGTGAACTCCGATATGCGGATGCCAACTTGAATTTTTAAAATAATGTCGGCATTACACTTATTTGAGCACCACCTATCCAAAAACACTTCAAACTTGCGGACGTCAATTTTCACGTTAGCTGCATAAAATTATACGATGTGGTTCAACGAGATTCCGCTTGTGTCTCTAGCATCGATTTCTGTGCCTGTATATTGGTTATATATTTAGCGGTGGCATTTCATTTTTTTAGTTAAAAAAATGCCATAGTTATTATAAATTACATGAATACTGTATACTGAATCTAGAATTATAATGAAATATATCATGGGCAAATCCTCAAATTTTGAGGGGGTATCATGCACATTAAATAGGTCCGATAAGACTTCTACAATCCGCTCAATCATAGTACTCACCTTTAAGTTAGCATTTCTTAATTCTTCACACCTCTTCACTTCAAGCCTTAGCGCTTTCAAAGTTTCTGAGGACCTGCCTGTATAATGAGTTCTAACCTCATCCTGATCTATCATATCAATTTTTAACATTCTCCACAGTTCTTCAATTTTTAATCTACGCTGGGAAATTTCCTTATCTGTGCTTTATAAAAGTTGACTCAGAGAATTGTGAAAGAACTCTAAACTTTGCATGTTTTCATTAGTCACCAAAAAAGTATCAGACAAAACAATTTGTTGTTCAAAATTAGAGTTAGGTTTATAATTTAATTCTGCTACCATCTTTACAATTTCCTCTTTCAAATTAAAAAACCTTTCGTGTGTTTCAAATATTGCAAAATAATTTTTAGTTCTTTTCCAAGCAAAGTTCAAGTTGTTTATTACGAAGACCATCCAATTCCTATTTCCTGGCAGCCATTCTACTTTGATATCTAAAATACAACGCTGCTTCAGTAACACATGCCTTTATCAAATACCACCAAATAACAAGTTTTTTTTTGTTTCCTTAGGGTAACTATCTAGTTTTAAAGGATCTATAAGCAACTGATGTAAAAATTTTGCCCAGTCACAAGTTAAGTTCTATGAATGTAAATCTAGCGAAAAATGGAAGAAAAATTGGTACTGAAAACAAAAATTTTTGATTAAAAATGACAGCTTAACAAGTATGTTAGAAAAATTGTATTAAAAAAATTAAAAAGAAGTTTTCTTGACTTATTTATCTACTTCCTTTTGTAGTTGCTAATGCGAGCAGCATTAGGTCACAACAACAGCAAAAATTTATACGGGTGTTATCTTAAACCTCGAATACCTCAAAAAGTAAGTAAAATTTAAATATAATCCATCCGCGAATCAATACGTGAGAATATATATATATATATATATATATATATATATATATATATATATATATATATATATATATATATATATATATATATATATATATATATATATATATTCTCACGTATTGATTCACGGATGGAAAAATGTGATGACACTATATTCCGGGATATCATCCGTTCGCTCGTTGAACTCCGACTGGAATCCTGCATCCGACTGGAATCCTGCAAATCTTGCATCCGACTGGAATCCTGCAGACGTTTCGCCAAAATCTCACTTGGCATCTTCAATGCTCGCGCTCCGAAAACACTTCGAACACAAGAAATTAACAATGAGATAAAAGAAATTATTTTTAGTCTATAAAAGTAAACTATGGCTAATACATTTTTTTACTAAAAATGCAATCTTAAAAGGTATTTTAAGCCCGATGGATAAATTTCGTAAGAAAAAAAGAAAAACCAGCCGTACATACATAGCCAATCGACAACAGCTAATTGACATGTCTCCCTTCGAGGCAGCTGTAGGGTTACAAACAATGCCCATTTTCCTGTATCGGGTGCAGGCACTATTGGTGAAGAGGTTGATTTTTGAAAAATTAAATGTACCTGATTCGTTTGTCTGACTTCAAAAGTATATTTGTTTCGGATACGCTAGCGAACTGAACGCCTAGATTCCTCCTCCTGCGTCGGTTATTTATAAATTAAACTTGCTAACGTTTCGCTAATAATCCTATTGGCTTGTTCAGATCTTGACTGAAATTGCTTATATACTGTTGAGGGGGCGGAGCTAAAGAAGTGGCATGAACATTGTCTTGGATGACCATATTGATGAAAGTTAAAGACCCGAGTCGCAATTAAGATTGTTTGGTTGCTTATGCTATTATTGATCCTCGAATTTTTCATTGTTAGAAGATTACATGCAAAATTTTAGTTTTATCGGATAAAAGTTTGTCCGGATTCGTGATTGTTTGGTTGCTTACAGATTTCTATACATTCTTGAAAAAGGGCTTTAAGAGTAAGACAAATAAACTCATCAGCAGTTGCCGAGCACAATCACGACACCGGGCATCAAATCATAACCGATAAAACTAAAATTGCATTGCACATAATCAATTCTTCTACCAATGAAAAATCCGATTATATAATTATTAAAATAAAATATTTATTTCAGATTTAAGTATTTTCTCAACATTCAAGGGACATTAAGGTAAATCCAAACGTCATTCGCAGCAATTGAGTTAATCTAATATTGATAATTAACTTTAATTGTGCGAATCTGAAAATTTTAGAAACAAAATGTTGATAATATGTGAAAAAATTTGAGAACAATATTTAGTTAGCTATATGTTTAACAAATACGGTACCAGCTTCATTTATTTAAAAAAAAAATTTGTTCATTTATATCGTTAACAAAAATTACAAAAAATACAAACGAATTACAAATATTCAATACACCCAAACATTTTCGCAATACAGACGGTATGTATATTAAATTTCCAAGGCGATGCGGTGTTTTTCAATTAATTGCTTTGATATACCTCATTTATTTGCATACCTTCATAGCGTAAGACCTAAATATTTTATCAACTCGTTCTAAAATAAAACCATTTAAATTAATATTAGTTATTAGTTTCTTATTTTTTTATTTAAATTAAATTTATTTAGTTTAAGTCAACACGCTTGGTAAACTTTTCTTTTCTACTCTCTTATGTAAAACAATTATATACCGATTTGGGCGTGCGGAAAGCATCACTCTACACCGTTTAGGGCACTTTTTGCATAGTGTACTATAAGTCACTCGTTTATTAAACACTTAATTTAAATGTATTAATTAAAGTTAGTTTGGTTAATTAACCTTAAATTCAAAAAAAGATTGTTCAAAATTTGTGTGGTGCACAAAGTTGGGATCGCTGTAAGCCACAATTTAAAAAAATCAAAATACTAACTGCCTATTCAATATTCATCTATCTGTTTATAATGTATATGCATAAAAATAAAAAAGAATTTAATTGCGTCTTTCACATGTATGATACCAGACATAAAAATGTGGTACTATTTACCAAACTTCTGATTTCCTCCAACGCCGGTTGTTGTTGCTGATGTTTCGCCAATCATCTGAACAGTTTCAGTTGTGCTCTAAAAAAGCCAACAGGACGATTGGCGAAACGTCAGCAAGTTCGACTCAACAACACCTGACGTACGAGGAATCCAGAAGTTTTGCAAATGGAAGTTTCTACGAAAAATTAAAGATGATCTGTGCATTCCCTATCACCCCGTAAGCAAAACCCAATCGTCTATTAATTTTATTGGTATTAAATTGTATAAGAAAATATCAGCAACCCTCAAAAATAACTTCTTCTCGATTGAATTTTAAACAAATATTTAACACATTTTCACAAAGGAATGCATTTATAACTATTTTTTTTAATGCAACTTTGAGGACTATATTTAAATTTTAGATTGTTTGTGTGTGCGATAACATTGTTTGTTTACTTCATCATCATTGACAAAACTTAAATAATTTGTACGAAAATTATGCCTTTTAAGTAATTTTCAATAAGCTAGAGGTACTCTTCTTTACATATAAATTTTAAAAAATATAGAATATCAATCACATTGATCGTTTAGGAGGGGCGATCTCTCGAAAGAAAAACACGGAAATTAAATGAATGGTTTTATGAGATTGGTCAGTAACAAAGGTTTTACCGTTTTATATTTTTTTGAAAACAAAATCATGAAACAAATCATCGTTGAGTTTAGGTCATTTATAAAAGTTGGTTAAAATTATTACTATATAAATATATAATCAAAAACTTACATAAAACATATGAGTGTTTAATTCAGTAAATTTTATCTGTGCCCTTGACTTTCATAACATAAAATTTGGAGTAAATGTTCATAAGAAAGTTTATTTATATACCATCGAACTTTTGATTTTATTTTTGGGACTTTCATTATTATTTTTATTTAAAAAATTATTAGTTTTATACGTTTTTATAACATTTCTCTAAAAGTGAACTTAAAATATAAGCGCCGATTTATTTTTAAAAGAAATCACATCCATATTGGCTTAAATAATGCCAACAACCATAGGAAATATGGCAAATATGGACGAATATTATTTAAATTTGTTTATAACTTACTCATAATTATCCGCATTTACATCAAGAACGGCATAAACCAAAACCGCCGCAATGAACAGCTGAAAATTTCAGACACTTATGTAATTTAATTACTTTGTCGAATGTGCGTTTAGTTAATTCGTAAACATGATTCGTGATAAGGTAAACTAACCTAAACACTTGACCTTTTAATAAGATGTTACTACCATGCGGCCGGATTTATTCATTATTAATTAATATTTTATTATTTATGGCTTGTCTTTTTATTTAATAACCTTATAGGGCTTTCAATTCTATATGGTCCACCTTAAAAGGATCAATTTAAATGCCTTGTACATAATTCACAGCGAAATTGATGTATCGGTATCGCCGTCTTTCATTTCGATGATTACAGGGGAGACGGTGGAAAATACACGTGAGGAAACAAATTCGTCCAGATGGGCGGAGTTTAACTTTCCTTTGCGAGATTTAAATCGCAGTACTGTCTGTCGCGGCATTTGTCGGGTCTGGTTTGTGAGAGTGCCTTCAAAGTGCCGGACACAGGTAAATACAAGAAACATTGCTTCTTATTCGCCAGGTCATATTCTGCCCAAGTAGCAGAATAATTTCTATAGGGTTCTACAAAAAAAAATATTCCTTATGCAACCTAAGAGGGCTTATTTTTATAAAACAGTTTGGTAGAAAAACAGTTTTCATTTAAAGTTTATACAATTTTTATGTGACTGTTGTATACAGATATTTACATATCTACTATAAAATGGTTTTATACTGGGTGCGTACTATATTTAAGGACAAATTCCATGAAATCTTTACATAATGTTAATTGACTCTTAGATTATAAAATTATTCAATAAAACTCCCATTAGCGGTAATAACGGACTCAACCCGAGATAGCAGGCGACTACATGTCCGAATCAAATGCTCTTTCTTCATGTTGATCATTGTGGTTGTTATAGCATCCTTCAGCGATACAGCTAGGTGGTCATAAGTTTGATGTGATGTGCTCATACAAATTTTCGGTCACCCAATCTTGTGGCTTGTCTATGATTCCGAGTTTAACGATAGATTAGACCCTCGCAATGGCGCTCGTGGATTTTGAAGTTCTTTGGTAAACGATCTTGGACAAATTGTGTATTAATACATTAATTCCTATAAAATTGTTATCAGCAGTTATGAAAGTTTAAATTCTTATAAAAATAGATCTGCAATCTCTATTTTTAGTGAATCTCAATATGTCATTACCCTGTCAAAATTAGTTGTATAATGCCTAAATATTATTCGTTACACAACGGTTTCATCGAATATTGTTTCAATTTACAATGAAACATTGTTTAAGGCATTTATGTGGGATAATCTAGCCTTATTACAAATCTATATATTTAAATAACACATATAGTAAATTGGAAAATGCGTTTTCTTTATTATTTAGATATTTGTATGGTGAAAGGATTCTCATATTTATAATAATAAAAAAGCATCTTCTAGAAGCGGTGGTCGCATAAGATATGTGACGTATCATCTGATATAATTGCATTATTCGCCTATATAATATGGTTGGGTGCGACTGGCGGTGCTTAACATAGCGATAACTTTTGGGGGGGGGGGGGGGGGGGGGGGGAAGAAAACAAAGAACCCACTGTAGTTCTCATGAGTTGGTAACAATGTTAAATATTATTTTGACATAAGAAATTTGCATACAACACAAATAGGACAGCACAAAATAAAAGAAGAAAGTGTTCATACACCTCATTAGATAAAACCTTTCTTAAAATTACGATGTCAATATATAATAAAAATGTCCGAAATTCCAGTGAGTAAGTATATCCAATCCACAAACTGCTCGATAGATTTCAGTTGGTTAATATTTTAATAAAAAGTTAAAGACTAGAGTAATATCACTTGCGCACCATCAGGCACCTCTTCATTATCCGTCAGTCTATATGGTCCAAAGAATCACCCACGGGAAAATCCTCGATCATGTTCACATCGCGTTTTTCTAAAGGTGTATGTACTTTATGACGGCTGTCATAAAAACGGTTTCTAAATCCTTCATTGGTACGTAAATCACACCCAGTTTTTGGAAAATGTTCAGTGTGAGACAAACACGAGTATTCCATTCCATTAAAAGTCATTCCATTGTCACTAGATTTACTAATTTCTTTCCACTGAGAATTCATAATAACAGCTATTACTTAAACCGAATTTTAAATTTAAATTTAAATATCTTAGCGCAAATGTGTTACGTGACGTTAGAACGCATTTGTTTTGATATATACTGTATTATCTTAAGAGGCATTTATAAGAAAATATATTTTGTAATGCGTTATATGATATATTGTAAAACCCACTAAAAAATAATTTAATACAACAATTTGTGTCAAAAAAAAAATCATCCATCGGGCATACATCAGGCCTTTAAGAATTCTATTTTGCTGATTTTATGCCAAAGTGATTACCGGAAATGTATGGAAATGTATAATACAATTTATTTATTTTGTATAAAATATAGAAATGCATTGTCACTGAGAAATAGAATAATTCTATATGCGTTTATTCTATTGCTCTTAGCTACAAAACAAAATTCTTCTTTTGTAAAGCACACAAAACACATAAATTGTGTGTGTTATGGCGCAGAAGTCTTTCAAGATATTAAATAAATGTGTCAACAAATATTCGATTGTAGCGAAAAGTAGAGAAATTACAATAAACTATTTAAACAAATTACACTAATTACTTCCAATTACTAAAAACAGTACCCAGTATATTCAATTATTATTTTTTGCATTCCAGGTAAAAAAGAAATGTGTAAAGTACGCAACGCAAAGGATGCCCCCATTCTATTGCTGTCCAAATACTTTATGGTATGCGCTGGAATATGGAAACTGCAATTGCCCACGAAAAATGGCGTGTTCTGCAGTGTCTACGGCATCTACTCTGCATTCGTAGGGATTTACTTTCCTCTATTCGTGTCGTCTTTGTGCATCCAATTCGTAGCGTCGATTGGCACAGAGAAGAACCTGGAGGACCTGTTTCAACAGTTGTCCTTCATTATAATATTCTCGATAGCGGAAGTTGGAGCCCTGCTCTGCCAGTCAAAGGACTTCAAGCAGATTTTGTCTTCAATAGTTGAGGAGGAGAGGCAGATACTCATGGCGACAGACGACGAGGTGTCACGCTACCATGCAACCCAGATAAAATTTTGCAATGCGATCAACTCGATGATTATCGTCTTTGTGTTGGGCACTGGGACTTCCATCATATTGGAAAACTTCTGGAAAAGGCAGCAAGTTGAGCCATACCCCAACGAATGCAATGGGTCAGCCCAAAAACCTTTTATCTACGAACTGTACCTTTACAAGTTCGATCCGTACAAGTATCCCAACGTTATGCTAAGTCTGAACTATTTCATGCTTTTCATCAATGTTTTGCTGATTATTTCGACGAAGGTGGTTTTCGTCTCCTGCATAGTTTTCACGTCGTCCAGTTTAAGAAAGCTTCAAGTGGTATTTAGGAAAACTTCCGCAACTTCAACCAGCTTGGTAGAACTCATTCGCGAACACCAGCGTGTCACAAGGTGTCAAGTTGTAGTGCGCTTCTGTCCAAAACACATTAAAGTGATGCAAATTTTTAGATTCGTGGGGAAACTGAATGATTCGATACGGTACATGATACTGATGGAATACCTCCTCAATTCCATCAGCGTTGCGGCGGCCTCCATACAATTTATCGCCGTGAGTACTGGATGGTTTAAGTGCAGAAGTTCTTTCAACTTTTCTTTTGGTTTTAGTTCGAGCAGGGATTTCCGATTTCGCCTCTTCTGTACTTAGTTTATCTATTGGTGCAGATTTTCGCTCTTGGTTGGACCACCAACGAAATACAAATTCAGGTATCTTAAATCGCAAGTCGGAAAGAAAAAGCGCTTCTGAGTTATTGCAAAGCTAGAAGCATAATTACGTAGTTAGTTTCGGTAGAAGACAAAATGGCTTCAAATTGGACCAACTACCACGAGATCTGGGGTGAGCCTACGATAACGTAAAGTTTGTTATCTCAGAAAGAAAGAGACGCAATGCCAAAATTATTGGTAAAAATAATGCCACTTCAGTGAAGAGTGCGCCAAGGTGGTCTATTTTTTATGTCTCAAGATTGGATCCTGCCACTAAAGTCGAGGACATCATCTCAATGTTGGAATCGCGTCTACATGAGGCAAAATATGAGATTACTGTTCCAAGTATCCTAGTCTCTACGCATATCTTATAGTTTATATTGGAAGCGGTGGACTCTGCGGTATAGATTTATATCCTATGTAATAGATAGGAAAATATTTTTGGTAATTGCTGCGTCCACATTAAATGAAGTTATGTTTAATTTGAGGTATATTATGAAATATTTTATTATCTTTCTATATTTACATTTTAATAACATTCACCAAACTTAATTTCACTTTACCTATTTTAAATTAACTTCTGGTTTGATGAGAGTTTTTACCTCTTTTTTTCCTTGGTAACACTTAGATCGCGATAATTGTTTTGCGTATCCATGGGGACCACTAACTCTAGAGTTTGGGCGTTTATCTTAACCATGTAATCATGTAACCCAGCACACAAGCACTTATCTCCTTTTTTGAGAACATATTTTTGATCCGTTACGAGCCGTATTGTTTCCAATTTTTTTTTGTCCTGCTTCGCATTTTTACTTATTAAATGTTAATTATAACATATTTCCAATATTCCAATATATGACTTCAGAATTTAGCAAATCGAATAATTTCTTTTGTTCTTTTCTTTTTGTTATCTCAGCCACGCCGACTACTTTTTATCGATACACGTATCTATTTTCCCTAGTTTCGTTCGCGCGAGGTGGAAATTTACTTTCGTTCCGCATTCTGGCAACTCTGTTGATTTTGCCGCGTCGATCAGTGGACGTTTTTTTTTTGCATCGTCATTTATTTTGTGTCGCTTACTTCCTACGCGTTGTTACTTCAGATTTTCAGCAATTGTCTTATACATACTACATACTTAATTTTTCATTTTTATTTACTAGCTAATTTTTGTCGCTTTAATTATATTGAATTTAAATATGTCAACTAAGTACACACAATATCAGGCTTTACGCCAAACTGCAGTCAATCGCATGAAAGAATTGTTCACCGCTGCAAAAAAGCCGACGCGGATGAGACTCACCATACTAATTTTAAAGTTAGGCACGAAACAGTTGAAACTTAAGCTGGAACTGACTTTGATGCCGAAGATAGCGTGCGGTCTGAATTTGAAAGCTATCTTTACGCTACCAAAGCGATTTATTTTTAAAATTTTTAATAAACCCGTCAGCACACCTGCCGCAAATTTGAAGTCATGTTGACGTGTTACTTTGCCAAAAATTGAAATTTTAAGATTTAGTGCCGATATTACCACCTTTCCCTGTTACATTGACATCTTTGATGCCTTGAAGTGTGCAGCTTTGGCTCTGGTGGAGAAGTTGCGTATGACTTCTTGTAATCAATTGATCCTATGGCACTCTTAAACATCGGATCAGAATGAAAAATTAATCGCTTCCACCCAATTGGTTGGCGATAGATAACACTCCAAAAATAAATTCAGTCAATCCTCGAGAACTTTTTTTTCAAATAAACTTCCACAGTCTACTGTAATACTATTTACAAAACTTCTGGATTGCTGACGTTTCACCAATCATCCTGTTGGCTTCATCAGAGCTTGACCGAAACTGTTTCAGTGGCCTACTAGGGTGACTACTTTTACAAGCGCAGTGATTGACCACGCATTTGTAAATTTTAGTAAGGGTTTTTTATGTTGTGTTTTTGACAATAATGTATCTGATGACATTATCAGAAAACATGAAGGATTTTGAAGTGACATCACCAAATCTAATGTTTATTCAACATCTCGAATTGGTAAAAACTTGACAGTGACTCCAAAATCAACAATTTTGAGCAATCGATTTCGTCTGGAGGATTGGTTTCATTTTTATGCCGAGATGGACCTGGATAGTGCATTTTTTTTTTGTTTTTTTAAACATTTTTATCACCGACAAATTTCGGATTCCGTAGATCCTTACAGTGCTGCTTGGGGGGTGATTTCGGAAATGTCTAATGATTCTCGATCCAATATTGAGCAATTTAATTTAATAATAAGAGTAATAAAACCGAGAATGAGCCTTACCTATATTGTGGCGTCTGTATTTAATAACTATTTTATTTTATAAAAAAAAATCTTTTGGATCCGAAGGCATGCCAACGCTTTTATTTAAAAAAAGTAAGTTGCCAATTACCGAAGAACTATCGTCCGGTAACAATTTCAAATAGCTTTCTAAACTGTTTGAGTATGCTTTCTCAGGAAGATTAATGTTTTTTAAAGATAAATGTCATAACATGGCTTCAGAAAAAAAGCACATCAACTGCTGCTTATTCGTGTTGGATGGAGAATGCTCGGTTGTAATTTTTTGCTGAACGAAAGTTTAATTTATTCTCATAGCCGGTGTGTTGGGAAGAAAATTTTATTTCAATGCGCTCAGATATATTTGTTTTTACTTGATTTATTCCTATAACAGGTATATTAATTTTTGAAGTTTGCAAATTTAATTTTTTTACCATAGAAGATGTTACAAAATTTGATTGCGAGGCTGAATCGAGTAATGCTCTACAAGTTATGATATTCTTATCCTTGTCGTACAATTGTACGACTGCCGTGGAGAGTAAAATATAAGAATTGGTGGTATTTTGACAAGTATTAGACATTACTTGGTTATTAATTGACTTTTCGCCGCTTTGCGCGCTCTTCAAAGAATTGTCAGTGGTAACATTGCAAATCGTTTTTTCTTTAGAATTTTCTGAAATGTCGCGCAAGTTGTTTGAACTTTCTTTTGATCGATGTAATAAAGTTGAATGTTTTTGCTGACAAATTTTACATGCAGAAGATCGACATTCTGAATTTTTATGCCCATACCTTAAACAATTTGAACATAAATTCATTTTCTTTACCATATCGAATCGATCCGAGACTGACAATTGTTTGAATTTTTCGCATAAGTATAAAGGGTGTTTATTTTTGCAATAATTGCATTTTCGGATATAGTTGGCTCCCGAAGAAACAAACGATCGCGATTCGTAAGGTTTTTTGTTAGTTGTACATGCCTTTGTATCTAAAGTTTCTAGCATTTGACATCTTTGTGATAGGAATTCGTTAAAATCGTCAATTTTCGGAGAGGTTATGAGTAGATGGATAAAGGGACTTCCAGGGACTCCTAACCTCACTTTTTGGCCACTCGGCCACGGGCCCCCCGCCCACGGGCCGCTCGGCCATCTTTTGTCGCCCATAGGCCACTCGCCCATAGGCCACTCGCCCATAGGCCACTCGCCAATAAGCCACTCGGCCATGGGCCACTCGCCCATAGGTCTTCTTCTTTTGTGTGTCTGTCCGTTCGGCCATTGGCCGCTCGTTCAAGGTCACTCGCCCATTGGCCGCTCGGCCTAACCAAACCGTCGTCCGTGGTACCGACCTAACCAAATTGTCGTCCGTGGTTCCAACCAAACCGTTGTCCGTGGGTGCCAACCGTTGTCAATGGTGCCGGCCGTGCTCCCGTGGGTGCCAACCGTTCGCCCGCGGGGGGCCCCCGGGCGTAGCCTCCGCTGGTGGAGGTGGGGCGTAGCCCCCGCTGGTAGAGGTGGGGCGTAGCCCCCGCTGGTAGAGTCGCCGCCCCCCCGCCCTAACCAAACCGTCGTCCGTGGTGCCGCCAACCTAACCGTCGTCCGTGGTGCCGACCAAATCGTTGTCCGTGGTGCCAACCGTCGTCCGTGGTGCCAACCAAACCGTTGTCCGTGGTGCGTAGTTCGCCCCGCGGGGGCCCCCCGGGGGGGCTGCCGCTGGTCCCCGGGGGCTGCCGCTGGTGCCCGCCCCCCGCCCCCCCGCCGATATTTTTTGATTAAAAAAAGTGTATCCATTTTCGATAGGCATTTTTTTTTTTTTAATTAACTTACCAACTTCGTTAATTTTGACTAGCATTTTGTCAATCAACTCGCCCGATTTGTGCGGTGACTCCCCCCTAGGTTAAAGTTATAGATTTTTTTTTTTACAGATAACTATTCTAATAATTCCCGACGAATTTTATGATTAACGAGGATTGGATCTGTGTGAAATGCAAAACATTTTTTTCTATACTATGTTTTTTTATTTTTTAAAAAATCTAAATATGAACTACAACTGTTGGTATCCCAATCATCATCTGCTGTTGTTGTGACTGGTCCCGTCCAATCTGTTGTCGTTTGATACGAACTACAACTGTTGGTATCCCAATCATCATCTGCTGTTGTTGTTGTGACTGGTCCCGCCGTCCAATTCTGTTGCTGTTTTTTTTGTTGCCTTTGAGTTTGCAAGGCGTACCACTGCCGGTCCTCTTCAATTTTTTCATTCAATCTTGCTACCTGTTGATTTAGCTGCTCCTCCTTCCACGCCGGCCACTCTTGTGGGTGTTTCTTCCATACGTGATTTGTGAGGCGCCGCTTAAGCAACAGGTGTGATTTATCGATGGGACAGAGAGTTAAATCTTTTGAAAAGAAGAAAAAAAAATTAAAAAAATTAAAAAAAAAATTCTTCAAAAACTTACCAGCAGCGGAGTAGCAGCAATAAGGACCTTCTTTATTCATTGTCAAGTGTTTTCGGAGCACGAGTACACACACACACACGATGTATCGCCACGAATAGCGCCGCTCGATCAAATTTGCCTCGTATTTATTACGACAACGTTCGGACAACTTCGCTAAGCGGTCGGTGTTCCACGATGCAATCGCATGACGCAATAGGCACGCGTAATTGCAGGAAATATGTGGCACAAATTACGAGTACAACGAATTTTTTAAATAAATAGATCAACGCA